ACGTGTTCAAGATTACTTCATCAGATAAGTTCAGATAACGTTTCTAATAGAACTTGTGTTTTTGATATTTAATTAATACTTTATATATTATAAAAAATTGATACTTTGTGTTATATATTTTATTTTTAGTTAATGTTTTAAAGAAAGAAAGGAGGAAATAAAGAAGACAAAGAGTTTAAAATAAAGTGAAAGAAGGAAGAAAGGATGTTACAAAAGATAATTGTGCGGTAATTATTATTATTATTATTATTATTATTATTATTTTATAAAAATGTTCGACTTACGAGATTATATAACAAAATTCTAAAGGATTCATTGTATAAAAATATTTACAGAGGATTCCATACTATGTTATTCGATAAGAGATATGATAATGACTGATGCAGTGTCCGTTCCAAAGCGCATATATCCTCGTGGTTTTTGTAAAAGGATCACCATAAGATCAGAGTGTTTTGATGGAGGTTTAGTTCTTGATGGTGGAATAGCAGTTCCCTTTAATTTCAGCACTGTCGCGGAAATAGCAACTTTTCCCGAAGACTCTTTGCGAACTATCACTCTTCCTGATTGAAACGATTGTTAGGATAATTTTGAAGAAGTATTTTATAGCATTGATATAAATATGATAATTTGTTATCATGTAAATAACATTCTCGCATTTTTCGTATTTTTTATGAAAAATAATTTTTTGGGAAGAATATTTATAGAACATTAATATATAAAAGAATGGAATCAGTCTTATACATGTCTGTACTAAGAAAGAAATGATGGAAATATTTATTTATATTATATTCAGGTATTATATGCATATAAGTTTAATGTAAAAATTTTTTTAATGCATAAAGTTATAAATATATAAATATAATATAATATAAATATAATATAAATAAATATAATACAAATAAATCATCTATGATTTATTTGATTGTGAGTCAAAGTGAAGAGCATTTTTAACATCCATGTCTTTTAAATAAATGATATATCTAGGAACATGATCATGTATATAAGGATATATTTAAGATGCCCAATATTGCCTACTATTGTTAATGTAAGATAATATGGATATATATAACATATGTATCTATATGAATATTTTATATGAAATTACTTTTAGTATTATAAGCCAATCCGAACAAACTTTAACACTAAGTTGTACTATTTTTTTATATACATATTTTTAGAGTACTTTATAATTTATATAAATTTAGAACAAAAACTTTATATTATTGTATCTTTGCTGTTCACTTAATTTCATAAATCAAAATGTATTTTTTCATTAAAAAAACCTTATAATGTATTGTGTATAATTTTGTAAAGTTATTTTTTAGGCATCCTATGCATTTTTCATGCTAGAATTAATTAATTCTAATTGTTAGACATACATATATATTTTGCAATTCCTAGACATACATATATATTTACATTTTTTATAACGCATTATAGCTAGCAAGAAAAATATGCTGTGTGCCATAGATTTTATATTTTCGTGATATACATATTTATATATCTCATATTAAATTATTAATTTATAAATTTATTAATGTATAAATTAATTTATAAATTTATTAAAAATTATAACTGTACTAATTTATAAATTAATTAAATTATAAAGAAGGTGCGTTGACACACGCGCTCGACACGAGACGCGCACGCACGCAACACATGGATTGGGAACCAATGAATGATGAAGCCATTGCACAAGAGGTATTATCAATATAATTAAAACATTAATTAATTTGTGTATTTATGTATCATAGAGAATTATCTTATTTTAACTGTGTGTTTTAGTAATCTCAAATATTTTATATTTTTTACTCATTTTTTAAAATTTATATTAATTAGGAATCTATTGTGTGTTTTATGTATATATCTTATCTATACAATAATAGTGAAAACAATATAATTTTTCATTTAATATATTTAATATAGGTTGAAGTTGTTAGAACACAATTAGGGAGAAACCTGAATCATATTGAGACAAATTGTATATCGGGAAATATTTTAGAATTAATACATCATAATAGAGCAGAGTTACATAAGAAGAGTCTACTATATATATTGTTGTAGATACTAATGTATTTCTACTTGATCAAATCTTCAAATTATTGAAGAAGCAAGAGATGCAACATTTAAAAATTATTCACGTCCTTTTATTGTAATTCCAGACTGTGATACATGATAAGATATTAATATAATGAATACATTCTATTTTTTGCTCTCACTTCTACATCTATGAGAGTTTTATTCTATGAATGTTATATTTTTATAACAGGAATTGGATTATATAAAGAGTAATAAGTCTCTACTTGAGTTGTTGAAGAAAGCTAGGAAAACAATATCCATTTGATGTTTTACAATAACATTTTTTTTCTGTTCTTTATATGTTTCAAAAATATGAGGGAATTGAGATTTGAACACGATCTCAAAATAACGAGAATATTCCATAAGGTATTTCCAATAATTTCTTGGCAAAAGATATGTTTTTTAGTGAACGAAATATTTGATCAAATTTAGACATCCAAATTTTATTATATAATCCAATTATAATAATTATTTCTTAATAATTTATTGCATTATATAATGGTTATTTATTATTTAATTATATAATTGTATAATAAAATTTAAACGTTTAAATTTTATTAAAATAAAATAAAATGAACAAATAAAATTAATAAAAATATAAATATAAATAAAATTAATAATCAATAATTAATAATCAATCTTTAATCGTAAAAATATTAAATTATACATTTCAAGAATTATATTTAAAATTTTTAGAACTAAAATTTTTAGAACTAATTACGAACTTAAAGAATATGTAATGTATGAATAAATAATAATCATGGAGATGTAAATATTTGATTACATCGAAATTTTTTTTTCTTGAGTCTGTAAGAAAATAATATATTTTTACATTATATATATTATTATTATTATATTATATTGTTATATATTATTATATTATATTATATATGTATATTATTACATTATATACATTATTATATATTTTATCATAACAATATATGTAATATCCCAGCAAACACAAAGTAATAATTATATAATATTAAGTTATAATTTTATAATAATATAACAATATTATATAAGCATGTTATATAACACTTATATTCTTGTATTCTTATATTCTTCTTCTATATAAGTGTTATATAATACTTATATTCTTGAATGGAAAATTATAATTTAATATTATACAATTGTTATTTTGTATTTGCTGGGATATTACATATAATGTTGTAATTATAACAAAATATAATATATATAATGTTATTTAAAATTATTATAAAATTATAATGAGATTATAATACATTATATTATATTATATATATAATATTATATATATTATATTTTATTATTATATTGAAATTTCATTTACTTGTGATAGTAAATAACATTCGTTTCTTCAAATGAAAAATGAGATTCAAAATAAGAAATTTAGAAATAGATTAGGATTTGGAATTAGAAAAATAAGCAGAATAAGAAAAGTCTAAAAAAGTAAGTTATATACATTTAAAACGTCTAAATATATGTATATACTATATATATATACCCACTAAACAGTTGTTATTTAGAGTAATAAGTAATGTAATAGTTGTTACGTTAATAGTTTATATATGAAATATGCTTCTTATATAAATTATTTTCAGTAAACACAAAATAACAGTAATATAACATTAATGATGTAATTTCCTACTCAACAATCTAACTGCAATGTAACATGCTTTGTACATAACAGTTATATTGTTGAATAGGAAATTGTACCATTAATGTTATGTTACTGTTACTTTGTGTTTACTGGGTTCTTACATAAATATATATTTTTACATAAATATGATGTTACAATGTTATTTATTTTATTTTTTGTTTGCCGTTACGCGGCGAAACCAGACTTAATATTTCGTATTCAAATTTTCCCCATGAAATGCATATAAGGAATGAATACTAATATAAGATTCAAAGTATATATTTTCTTTGTTAATTTAATTTCTGACCTATAATCCTAACAAAGGATTCAAAGAATGAAATAAATTAAATAACATTAATATAACAGTGTTTACTGGGTATATATTATAGATAAATATGTAGTGGCGGATCCAGAAATTTGTTAAGGAGGTTTTGATTCGCCGCAAATAAAATTTTTTTTCAGATCAAATATGAATTTTTTTTTTTATATCTAAACGTGTCTTAAATTAAAAAATATGATTGGAATAAAAATTGTGATTAAGCATTTCGCAAATATTAAATATAACATTTCTTTATAAATACTTTTGAAAAAGGAAACTCTAAGTGGAAGGGCCCCCATGGTCTCCATTATGGATCTGCCAGTGTAGATATATATATATACATATATATATATATTTTTGATTTTATATTATTTTTATCATTATATTTTATTATTATTATATTAGGAGACGCGGTAGTGTCTCCGGCCATGTTCAAACCCTAAGAGACCTTAAAAGACACTACAAGTCTCCTTATCCTGCACCATCAAAGTCCATTTTTTGGGGGTGTAGAACTACTAAAATATAAAAAATTTTGAATTGCACGTAATATAACCTAAAAAGCGGCATCGCCACGAGTAATTTGAGTCAAGAAAAAATAAAATCGGTCAAGCCGTTCTGGAGATACAAGCGGTCAAAAAGTGACGTTTTTCATGAAAAATGAAGTAACGTCTTCTTTTTCTTCTTCTTCTTCTTCTTCTTCTTCTTCTTCTTCTTCTTCTCTGTCCGCGTCCGCTGACGTCATCAGGATTATATATATATATATATATATATATATAAATCTCTTCTCACCTTTTACTCACACCTCCCTCAACTTCCACCCACCCCTTTCCCTCCCACATCCCGCCCCCCGCCTCCATTTATTCGAAGTAAAGACTATAACGCTTACAATTTATGACTAGAACGCTTACAATACGAATATGGAAAGTTTTTTTTTTTTACAACAAATGGTGCAGTACAATAATTTTTGAACATTATTACTTAAGTCTAATCGGAATCGGTGCCGCCCGCCATGCCGGAACTTTGATCGCTTGAAGTATTGATATCGATCGGAAGAAAACATAATTTTACAATTGGACGCTTATACTGTGAACGCGCGGTGCGCACGGTAACGACGCGAACGAGTCCGTCGTTGCCGGGATGACATTCGATGATACGTCCGAGCTCCCAGTGAGACGGAGGAGCAAGTGCGTTCCGCAAGAGAACGATTCGGCCTACAGTCGCAAGTCGTTGCGCAATTTTCCATTTTGGCCGCTGCTGCAACGTTAATAAGTAGTCGTTTGACCATGATTTCCAAAATTTTTCTGTAATATGTTGCAACAATTGCCAGCGGGAAAGACGAGTTTCGTTAAGATCGAGAACGCTTGGCTGTGGCGCAGCTAAGATGGGTCCCCCGATGAGGAAGTGTCCCGGTGTTAATACATGATAATCATCGAGATTTTCGGACACAGACCCAATAGGTCTCGAGTTAAGACACGCTTCGATACGACAAAGAACAGTATTTAATTCTTCAAATGTGAGCGTATGTGAGCCGATACAGCGCTTTAAATGGTATTTGACGCTGCGTACAGCAGCTTCCCATAATCCACCGAAGTGGGGAGCGGAAGGAGGCACGAAATGCCAGTTTATTCCGTCGGTCGAAAGCGTATTTTGCAAATCCGAATTTTTTAAAGCCTGCGCGATTGCGAGTTTAAGTTCGCGATCGGCACCTTGGAATGTGGTTCCATTATCCGAATAAATCGATGCAGGGTATCCGCGACGAGAAACGAAACGATTTAATGTGGCGAGAAAAGCGTCTGAAGAGTAGTCGCTAACGAGCTCGAGATGGATCGCCTTTGTCGTCATACAAACGAACACGGCAATATAGGCTTTATGCGCTTTATGACCTCGTCCACGAGAGGTTCGTACAAGAATTGGACCGGCATAATCGACACCGGCATGTTCGAATGCTCGAGCTAAGCGATTTACTCTTACATTCGGAAGATCGCCCATGAGCTCGTTAGGAATCTGAGCCCTTTCTCGTGTACATGATACACATTTGTAGAGTACAGCGCGAACCAGAGATCGTGCTCGCAGAATCCAAAATTTCTCTCGGATCCGAGCTAATGTTAATTGAGATCCAGCGTGCAACATTCGTTTGGGTGTCCATGATGATCATCCTGACCAAGGCATGGTCCTTTAGGACAATTGGATTGCGAACGGCGCTTTGTAAGGTGGCGTTCCTTAGCCTGCCACCGACTCGAATTATTTGATCATTATCGAGATAAGGATTTAATGAAAGCAGTGTGCTAGATTTCTTGATTGGGGTTGCCGTACTGAGTGCTGATATCTCGCTATGAAACAATTCTGATTGAATGTAACGAATCCAAAAGATTTCAGCGGACTTAATTTCAATCGGATTTAGGTAGATCGGAGCTCTAGGGTTTTGTATCTTCAGATTGAGATTGATATGTCGAGAGCGGGAATTCGTTACGAATCGATAGATGTATGCAGTTATTTGAAGGAGTTTGTGCCATGACGAATAACGTTGTGATAGGTCCCACGATGCGACAACGGATGTAGTGAGCGATTGTGGTTGCGCGCGTTGCTCGCTTAGCGCGTGGGGATCGAAATCCGAGTCAGATTTTGGCCAATAATCGGAAGATTTAATAAGCCAATCGGGACCTGACCACCATTGAAGGTTTGTGGCAAGGTCGTCGGGAGAGATCCCGCGCGATGCGCAGTCGGCAGGATTTTCCTTTGTTGGGACATGACGCCATGGAATGTCCGGAAGTAGCGTGTGAATATCGGCTACTCTATTCGCTATAAATGTCTTCCATGTAGTAGAAGGTCGGCTCATCCAGGCAAGAGTAATTGTGGAATCGGTCCAACAATAAACATTTACCTCACGAAAGTCGAGAGCTTCGCGAATGAAATGAATGAGCCGTGCGAGTAATTGAGCTGCAGATAACTCGAGTCGCGGAACACTCATTACTTTGACAGGAGCGACTTTTGATTTTGCGGCAAGAAGATTGACCGAGACCATTCCATCCACCGTGACAACGCGAATGTACACCGCTGCAGCGTATGCTTTGGTAGATGCATCCGAGAATCCATGCAACTCTAGATGCAGTACGTGATGGCCGAGTTGAATCCAACGTGGAATCATCACCTCTTCTAGATGTTTAAGATGAGTATGATACTGCTGCCAGGCTTCAAGCAGATTCGGCGGAGCGACTTCGTCCCATTCACATTTAGCGATCCAAAGTCGTTGCATCAAAATTTTGGCGCGAATAATCACTGGAGTTGCCCATCCAAGTGGATCAAAGAATTTGGCGATGTCGGATAAAATTCTTCTTTTGGTGTTGCCAGGAGGCCCTGTAATCGTAATGGTAAATTTGAAGATGTCGCGATCTGGTTGCCAAGTAAGACCGAGAATTTTCAAGCTCTCATCTTCGTTTAGATCTCGGCTTTGAGCGAGACCGTGGTCGGTATCTTCGATCTCGTCAAGGAGTTCGGACACGTTGCTTGCCCATTTTCGTAGCGTGAATCCACCTCTTTTGAGAAGAGAAACAATCTGCTCGCGAGTTTGACGAGCGAGAACCTTGTCGTCGGCGCCGAAGATAAAGTCGTCGACGTACATTTGACGATCGATAACGGATGTGGCTAATGGAAATGAAGCGCCTTCATCTATGGCGAGTTGATTCATGACCTTCAAAGCTAAGTACGGAGCTGAAGTCATGCCGTACGTTACGGTACAGAGACGATACTCCTCAACTTGATGTGTTGGAGATGGCCGCCAGAAGATGCGTTGGAAATCACGATCGCGAGGATCGACTTGAATTTGGCGATACATTTTTGCCACGTCGGCGGAATAAACGTATCGAAATGTGCGCCAACGCAAAATCACTGCAGCAAGGTCCTTTTGAAGTTTAGGGCCCGGATATAAATAATCATTCAATGACGTACCGTTTGAGGTTCGACTTGAAGCGTTGAAAACGATACGTATTCGCGTTGTTAAGCTGTTAGCGCGGAATACGGCATGGTGCGGAATATATACGATTTGATTCGAGTCGATTAATTGTTCGGTTTCTGAGACGCGTTGCATGTGTCTCAGATCATAATATTCTTTTAAAAAATTATGATATTCCGACGATTTCGATGAATCCGTTTTAATGCGGCTTTCCGTGCGAAGGTAACTCTGAAGCGCGGAATGTCGAGATTCTCCAATGTTGAGTGGAGGTCCGTGTTTAAATGGAAGTCTGACGATATAGCGACCTTCAGAATTTCGAGAGTGTGTCGAATTAAAATGGTCGTCGCATGCCTTTTCTTCACTAGTTATTTTCGATGAAGCGGGAATTTCTTCGATTTCCCAAAATCGGCGGAGAGTTTGATTGAGATCATCCGTAACAGAGCAATGATGTACTCCAATGGACGACTGCGAGAGCGGTCTGAGTTGCGCTATAGGTCCGGATATGATCCAGCCTAGCGCGGTATTTTGAGCGATCGGTTCGTCAACCGCGCCTTTTCGAACGCCGTCGAGGATGAGTGACCCGAAAAGATCCGCTCCGATAATTATTTCTATTGGATCTGATCCTGCGGGATCGGGATCAGCTAACGAAAGGCCATTCAAATGCGGCCATTGCTCTGGAATGTCGAGACGGTTTGGCAAATATCGAGTTAACGATTTTAAAATTAACGCGGTGGTTCGATAAACCGGAGTGTCCGCGTTGCTGGGAGTTATCGTTAGATGAACGGCATGTCGAACGTTTGTCTGCGTTTCGCCAATACCTGTTACCCTAACAGCGGTATTTAATTTCGGAAGTCTTAATGACTGCACTAAATTTTCGGTTATAAAGGATGACGCAGATCCTTGATCGATGAGCGCTCGGGCCCATTGGAATCGACCGTGCATTGAATGCACGCGAACGCGAGCAGTTGCAAGGAGAATGTGACGCGCTGTTACAGCTTTCGCAACGATATGCGAGGAAACGTCACTTGTCGAGATGACGGGATTTGTTGACGCGGGAGACGATGACGCTTGAACAGCTGATTTCGGAGCGTCAAAAAAATGTAAAAGCGTGTGATGCCTTTTGTGACATTCTTTACACGAGCGGGTACTCGGGCATTCTTTCGCTTGATGCTTCGAACTGAGACAATTAAGGCAACGCTTGCCGTTACGAATAATTTCGTATCGCTGAGTCGGCGTTTTTCCGAGGAACGCGGTACATTGATATAACAAATGATTCGATTCGCACACGGGACACGAAAGTTTCGTGGCGCTTGTTGTATGCGAAGTGACAGCCCTTTGTTTTAATTTCGCGTTTGATTTATCGCTTTGTTTATCGAGTGTCGAAGCGATCGGTACAAGGGCGTCGAGAGCGCGAATACGAGAATCCAAGAACGCGCTAATTTCGTCAAACGTAGGATAGACGGTCGTTTTTCCTAACTTCAATTCCCACGCTTCGCGCGAGGATTTGTCGAGTCTTTGTGTGATAATATAAACAAAAATATCGCTCCAGTGTTCGACCGGACGAGACAAATTTTTTAACGCGGCAATTGCGGCAGTTAATTTGCTCTGTAGAGCTCGAAGTTCGGTCGCCGATTTCGCCGTAACATTGGGCAGTGTAAATAAGCGATGTATATATGAATTGATTAGCCGACGCTCGTTTTCAAAATTGGACGAAAGAATCGTCCATGCTACAGCAAAATTATCAGAAGTAATCGTTAAATGTTCGATCGCGGTGAGCGCTTCGCCTTTTAGACACGAGAATAAATGATGCAATTTTTGTACGTTAGACAGGCTTTTTTCTTCTATAATCATCGATTGAAAACGATCGCGGAAGCTCTCCCATTTGTCGAACGATCCATCGAAGACCGGCAATGTGACCTTCGGTAGGTTGAGTGTCGTATGAGACTGACATTCGTGCAAATGACTTACGTTAGCTGCAGGATGAACTGATGATTTGGAGAGTTCATGTACAACCTCTGCGAAATAATCCAACGCTGTCTCGTAGGCTTCTTCGCACTCGTCAAATTCGTGATCTGAGAAGTAGGGGTGCGTGGTCTTCTCCTTGGAGTCAGCGGAAGCGTGTAATTTGGCATCTAATTTTGAGCACTGTTCGAATTTTTCTTTTAATGTTTCCATGCGATTTTTCGTCACTGCATAGGTCATTTTAGCTTGACCTAACTTTTTAAAATTAGATATCGCACGAATAACTGAGCTCATTTTTGTAGACTGTTCGTGCATCAATTCTTCGAAGGATTCCATTTTACACAGGTTTTTTATTGCACCACTACGCGATAATCGAACGAGTTCGCTACTGAACGCGTAGCACCAACACAGCTGTTAACAGTCAAAAAAGGCAAAAAACCTCAGTCCCGATCCGGCTCGAAGGACCAGAAATGTTGCGGAATGCACTGATTAAATTAATTTTGATCGGGAATAGAGGGAAGAAGGGGTTGATTGTTAACAGCTGAGAATATGGTTAAAAAAAGGTTTATTCGATCTTTCACAAAAAAAACTAAAGTTGTCGATCTTTCACAAAAAAAACTAAAGTTTCGAGTTCGAATTAAACACACTTGGCGAACGGTGGACAAAAATTTTAACGAGAACGGACGGACATCTTGTGCTTGATCGTAATTGCTGCGCGCGTACTCGACGGAAATCTTCTCGCGATAATTTTTACAAAGATCGCAGCGATCAAGAGCCGAACGCGGATGCGCGATGCACCGTTCGCGAAATCGAGGTCTCTGAGAGTCTCCGGAACACTGTAATATCGGAGCACGTGGTGATACATGCGGTCGTAATTGCAGCCGAGCTATGCATGTATTTCACAAATAAAACTGAAATAATGGAAAATATCGCTTGCCCAATATTCTACAAATTTTTGCCGATGACCGGCGGAAAAGAATCACTTTCGTGACTCGAAGGATTATGTGAACCACGCGTGATACGAATCTCCAATAACGAGGCAATGTGTTAATACACTGAGAGCCGGAACAAGAAGAAG